CATTCAGTTATTTAAGAGGACAAACGGGAGGATCCATCACCATCCCGTGTTTCTATGGTCAGGAGCATAAACACCGTGTGAAATACTGGTGTAAATCAGAAAATATTCAACCCTGCACACCAACTACTAAAGTGACCAAGGGGACCATCGCTGATGTTCAGGATAAATTAGTCTTTCTACTTAACATGACGAACCTGCAGCAGTCGGATTCGGGAAATTATCAGTGTTTTGTGGGTGAAAGAAACACTAAGGAAATGTCTGACAATCTGTTCTTCCTGGTTACTCCAAGTAAGCTAATATAATCTCTGTCTTATTAATGTCAGTGTAATTTCACCCCAACTTCAGTTAATTGGTGCTAATAATGAGGGTTCAAAAGCATTCATCTAAATTTTATTAATTTTTTTTAAATCATCTCCTACATCTTTCTTCAGCATTCCTTGCCTCTGTGTTTAACAGACCCCAGTCTCTGCATAAAACTCAGGCCCTTTAAGCCTTTATTGCCCAGGACATTTCATCTCACTTGGTTGTTCCTCTCTGTCTCTACAGTCATAAGTTATCTGCATGTTCATTCTGTATTATATGTTTCTGATGCTCCGTCATTCATGTTCTCTCCCCATAGCTGCTCAGAGTGTGAGGACTGAGAGCTGGGTTTCTGCACGGAGAGGAGGACCTGCCACCATCTCATGTTACTATGACCAAAATTATAAAGATAAAACCAAATACTTGTGTAGAGGATATGAACGGGATTCCTGCTCCACAATAGCACAGTCAGATGGGGAACAGAGTAGAGGGAAAGTGTCAGTCTCTGATGACCGTGACCAAATGGTGTTTAATGTGATCATAAGTGACATGCAGGAGAAGGACTTTGACTATTACTGGTGTGCTGTGGAGGCGTCTGCAGCCCAAAATGATCGTGCCTTTGTGCCCCTGATAGTCCGGGAAGGTAAGATGTCAGTTCCTGAGCTGTGATTCACACTAAACGAGTCCATGGTGACCATGTGCTTCTGTGTGTCACACTGTGATAAAGTCAGAGGGTGTTTTTCTATACAGCGTCAACCAATCAGAACCAGAGTTTAATGCTGTCACTCAGAGATAGATATCAAAATGAATGCAGGTGTAATATGAACACAGTCTGTGGCTGCAATGCAGTGTCTTTGTATATATATTTATGTAAAAAGCAGCTGAGGTCTGGACCAATAGCAGACTGTAGTGAATCAGACGCTGGCTGTTTAACATGCAACCCTGCACTATGTGTTTGTGTATTTACATTTGGTGCTGGTGCCACATTCTCAGTCTTCATTGATGTTGAACTAATCCAGTGGTCTTTCACATCACCCTTGACAGTAACCCCTGTGTCAACTACACAACAGACAGAACAGGACCATCATACAACACTGAGAGCTACTGTTTCTTCTCCTTGTCCTTTGACATCCAATGCAACAAGACAGAACACCACAGATTCAAGGTAAGACATACATATATGATATTTGGTAACAGGTGACCACAATTCAAGTCCCAATATGCAACAGACAGAATGGGTGACATCGCCACTGACTCATCCATGTGTTAATTTAACACGCAACATAACCGGACAGAGCTTCATTATGTCTGATTTAAGGTAAGATTACTTGCTTACAAAGAGTATAACATATCCGTTTGCTCCCTCCTGTATGTCTCATGCAGAGCAATATGGAGTAGGGAATGAGAAGCACTGGAATGTACCTGTGCAAATGGAAAATAAAGGATCATTTCAATAAAAATATATTTCCAAAAAAATCTATTTTCCATGGTTTGAAACAGGAGAAATAAGACATTGTCATTAAATAAAATGTTGCTATTTACCATGAAATAATACAATTAGTTTGCCTATAGCTGATGTTAAAATGATTCCCAGTTTCATAGGATTGTGGCCTGACAGGAGGCTTATTGTGATACAGATTGATTCTGGTTAGACTGAGCTTCCTGATTATTTCCACTAGGGGGCGAGCTCTGCATGTCACTCTGCACATTGCTGTAGGCCTCGTCTACTTGATCTGCACCATTGTGGCTGTGATGAGAACCTGGAGATACTGCAGTAAGTAGCTGAATCATGGCCTTTTATCTCAGACTAAATCCGAATGATAAAACCAATCATGTTGAGACTGGAATATATGTCATGTTTAGTCATGCTGTTTTAATTGTGATTTGACCAACTGTGATGTCATCAGTAGAGACAATTTTCATGTAGTTTTAAAAAGGTTGTGTGTCAGAAACAAAAATAAAGGGTGAATATAGAGGCCCTACAGTGTTTATACATGAAACAAAGAAAAACAAGCAATATTGGCATCAGAAAACAAAGGAATCATATTCAGTCAAGATGTCAGTGAAACTAAGCTCATTTTTTCACCAAACCGTGAGTAAGGGATCATTCACACACTCTGTAGTAACTGGGCATGGTTTGGGTCACATTCCATGTTGTCTGTTCCCCAATAGCAGTTACCCAGTGCAGAGTCAGGAGGAACCTGGAGCTGTCTTCTGAGGGGGCACAGCTTAAATGCCCCCCCCCCCCCCGGTAGGAGGAGCATGTACAAAACCGGCCAAGAAAAAGTTACATGCAGCGCTAAAGTCTGAAGCTCATCTAGGGCTGGATATTGTACGTTGGTCACTGCAGAATTTTATTTCCAAAATCTAGGATTAAAATTTACACCAAGCATGTGATGGCAAATGTACAGCATGTTTTACTTGTATTTTATTGATGGAGGTGTCACTAGAGGCCGGGTGGGGAAATTGACACTTTGTCACTGCTGTGCCCCCCCGTGAAGCTGGTGACTCACACTTACCAACACGGCTCTCTGTGCAGTTTAGCAGAAGTAAAATGTAGGCAGGAGGCCATACAGCCGAACAGAGGGGCGTATGCAGGCTTTGCTGAAAGCAACTTAAGATTTTGTGATAATAAAGCAGGCTATTTTTAAGCTGTGTGTCTGTGTCATTTTGTCACCTCTATGCCACATTCATGTGACTCCATACTCAAAGATAAACATCTCAAACCCTTTAGACATCTGGTCATATAAATAAGACTAATCCTGTGTTGCATAACAATGAAGATGAAGCATCATCAAAAGATGAAAAACACTGCAAGTTTTTCAAATGATGGATGTTACAAAGAGACCAGTTACTGTAAGTTAAGGTTAGGGCTGGGTAGAGGTTAAGGTCATCATGTTAGAATTAGGGTAATGCCCGTAGAATTGAATGGAGAGCCCCCTCAAAGATATAATTACAAACCTGTTTGTGTGTGTGTGTGTGTGTGTGTGTGTGTGTGTGTGTGTGCACATTTGTAATTATTACGTTGTGGTGACCAGACTGCTGCCATCAGAAGTGATGGCGATGTGAGCTTGTATGCACACAGTCAGAAGGAATGATCCAGATACAACATACCACAGTCAGCACGGCAGTATTCTCTCAAAAATGGATGGGTCAGATGCTATAATGACGTACACAAAGGGGTTATAGAAATTCTGGCCCAAGCACGGAAAGATCAGAGGGCAACCCTGACAAAAAAACTATTACACTTACACAGTAGAGTGACAATTCAATCTCAAATCGGTATATCTAAAATCTGAAGAAGTCTGGGCACCTTGTCGGTCATAACTTAGTAATACCTGCACTGGCAGAAATCACAGCTTATAAATGTTTCTTGTAGCCAGCTAAATTTTTCTGTTCTTGTTTTTTCCCCTCACTCTTCCTTAAAGTCTTGCCTGCACTGTATGTTTGATATGTATTATATTTGCAGTAACAGTCAAATCTAACAAAACCTTAATCTTTTTTTTCTTTCAAGTATTTTAGTGTTGATGTATATTTGGGGTATTACTGACTTTTATTTTAGATTGCTTTCTTCTTGAAATATCCAGTATCTTTTCAGCTACAGTTTCTTAATAGACTCAGGAACTTTAGCTTCTATTAAAGACAATATTCCCAGTTCCAATGGTTGCCAAAGCATCATGGATCCAGCACCATGCTTCTTGCTTGGCAAGGTGTTCTTTTAAAAATATGCTTCACCTGTTTCTCACAAAATATCTCTTTTTGCGTGTTACAGCTCTGCCTTTATTTAGCCTTCTTGGTGGTCATGTTGTACTATTCTATTCCTGATTGCTTTGTGTTTTGTGGTGGTGTTCCTCCCTTCCTGTAGGTGGTGTGTTCCATACATGAAGGATGAGTGGTTATAAACGAGAAGCAAACTGACCTGAAGAGAAGATGCTGATTGGCGGGGACTGCGTGTTCTTTGCGGGGGATCTTGGTGTACGGTTTACTGCATTGTTGTATTAGATCAAACAGTACATCATTGTAACTGCTGAGACTTCATTGTCGGAAGGGGGTTGGAGCCCTTTTTTGTTGATTGAATGTTATTGTGCTTTTTTTGTTAAGCGATGAAGTTAGGAGGAATATTGTCTTTACTTTTATTTATTTTACGTACATGTTTAAGTTAACCATATGACGGGTGGAGTTGACTTTTGGGCTTTGTTTGTTGTTTTGGCTGTACCTACTTCCGGAGAGATGGCTGATCTGTTGTTATGGCTGTACGAGTCAGATTGAAAAATTTAATGCGCACCACGATGTGCAATCAATAAAATCAATGATTTTATGTGAGTCCCCGGTGTCCCCTGTGGTGTGTGTTGATAGCTCTGGTGGTGTGCTCGAAGCCCGGCATGTAGTCAAAATGGTTGTGATACAGCCTTATTTCAGGTTCACCATAGTTTACTGATACAAGATGTTAATATATATGTACATTGATATATATTTGTACCAATGGGTATCTGCAACTTTAAGTTGTGAGCTGCTCATCAGTGCCCCTGCTGTACATGTAGTATTTGGAACGTTAAGTACTCATATACTGCCTTTTAAGCAGAAGGGAAAAAACAACAAAGGGGCAGCAGAATGGGCCTGGAAGAGGATTTCTCTGCCGAATTAAGAGTTTTGAGGAATACACTTCATATGGGGCAATTATTTTCTGTACCTGGAAGGATTGCATGGCTGTAGAACTGGATAAATCCCCATATGTGATCTAATTATTATGCATTCCTGTATTTGGAATCTCCAGAGAATGGTTCAATAATTCCTTTTGTATTTTTGCAAGGTAATGCTTTTCAGCGAACTCATGGGTTACCTTGTATCCTTTTTTTGGTGAGTTTTAAATGAAAAGGGGTCAACTTTTTCTGTGGCATCCAGTGAGTTGTAGGTGTGTTGCAGAACCCCCACCCCCCCAAGGACAGGAAAACTCAAGTGTCATACCCCACATTCCTGCCCCCTTGTTCTCTCCTAAATGTGGCTTATGTCCTGTTTCAGCCCTCATGTGGATGACTCCAGCTTTCACTATAAATTTTATATCAATATGCAATTTTGAAAACAACATTATTGGTCATTTTATATATATATATATATATTATGGCATGCCACCTCATCATCCACTCGGTCAAATGACGAGTGCACATTAGGGCCTGCAGCAGTGCTGTTGCTGCATGCATTTGCCACGGTTTCAATAAACTCTTCGTTATTCAAAAGACACTGCACTAGGGCTCGAGCTGTTTCTGCCATGTTTAGACTGGCATCCCAGTGACACTCCCCCTCATCGCGCTCCTTGTAGTGGAAGACGCAACGAAGTTGACCAAAGCAGTGCCTATCTGTAATTTCACGTTCATTGTATATATATCATACTTTTCATTCAATATCATCTTAGCTTTTAGCGTACGAACAGCAGTTCTTCAAAATATAAATTATGCAGGCATTCTGTGTAAAGATTGAAATTGTTTATCATATAAACGCCAAGGATAATAAAAAAAATTAAAAAAAAACTTTTTAGGCAGTTTTCAGCATTCAGTTGTTAGAATAAGAGGAAGTTGGTTTGCTTGGTTGCAGAGCAGGGGAAAGGGGGGAGTCTTGGCAGTTGGTTGCAGAGCTGATGAGCTGATGGGATGATGGCACTCAGGAAGGTGCGGCATTTGGAGAGATTGTTGGAGTGGAGCCCCTTGGATTCTCTCTCTTTGTGAAGCTTTGTCTTGGTTGCAGCTCTCTGTCCAGCTGGGCCTTCACCGGCAGACTTCAGGAGGGCTTCTTGTGGGCTTCTCTTCTCCTGGGCTGATGTGCTTTCGTGTCTCTTTTCAGGCTGATGGTCTTTCTGCTCTTCTTTGTTCTTTGGTGCCAGGTTTTATGGTCTAAAGTTCATGAATAGGGATGACCAGGAATTCGACTCCAGGACCAATGGCTGACCATCTCTTTGGCGGGCTTTCAGAGGGGTGTCTGTGGCAGTCCTTTTGGGATTTATGACCAGACTGATTCCCCCTTTACTGATGATTTGAATTAAGCTTGTGTAACTTTTGATACAGACACTTTCATGGTAACTGTCACCGGGCACAGAGCACACGAGATAACGGGTACTAGGCTAGGCCTTGTCTCAGGCAACCTGGAATCTCAGCCCTGTCATATGTGCATGTGTGATCCTACATATATCAGCTTTCATTCCATATATATCGGATTTCATTCCGTATATTTCGAGTTTCATTGTCAACATTCATTCTATATATTCCGGGTTTCATTGTATATATATCTGCTTTCATTCGTTCGAGTTCGAGTGTTCGAGTCATAAATAAGCAAGAGGGTGCCTTTTCACGTTGCCTTTGTCTCATCCACTCCGTACAACAAATGGATGAATTAATATGTGTGTTGTTGAACACGGATATCAAATCATTGTAATAAGCCCAAGTTAACCACAAAATGGTAATTCACAAACGCTTAGCCTGAACTGTTACCTTAGGAAACTGACAACTCATATGAGACAACTCATATGACAACTCATAAACAGAAGTAGGATTAAGATATGTTGTTCGCAATTTGGAATAGAACTTCTGTAAAACTTACCTAAAAGTGTCAATATCTGGTGATGTGTAACATAATCGCGTACACTATGTACTGATGTGAATAATCCAGTTGTGATGCCACGTTTGGTATCAAATTGATGGAAAACTTCTACTAAATCCGAATCTGATCATGGATTATCATGTGATTGCACATATCTAAAGTTACATATTTTATTTGAAATTAACTGTAAAGTTGCTTCAGTATACCACTATAAATCCAGACGGCTATACATACCCCCAGATCACACCTTTGCCTGATTCCCAGTACACCATATCCACTATATATAGGCTCCCCACAACCTTCACAACCTTCAAAAGAGGTTATGGAAGATGGATAGATAATAGTATACAGTTATGTCAGCATCACAGTTTGATTCTACTCCCGACACTGTATGTGTGGAGTTTGCATGTTCTCTCTGTGTTTATGTGGACCTGATCCAGGAGCTCTGGGTGTCTCCTTGTCTCCAAAGACTTGGTGTCCCTGTGATGTTCTGTCTGCAGTGCCCTAAACATCCTGGGATTAGCTCCTGGAAGGTTTAAGCGGTTTCAGTGTCACTCAGAAGCATTTCAAAGCCAAGGTCCCAAAAACCCATGAGTCCAACAATGTGAGACATGACAGACAGAAATTTTATTTGTATTAATAATAAAACACACAATAAAAACATCTTTTGATATTCTCTATCAGTACATCAGTGAACATCATGATAATTTCAGGGTCCTTCAGCTGGGGGCTGGGGGGAACGACTTGCTGCTTTCTATTTGCGAACCACAGCGCTGTAGGTGACCTCATGTGGATCCGCTGCAGCCTGGGAAGCAGACAGAGACTCCTGACTTTAGCTAGTGGTGCATTTTAGCTTTGGGGTTGCAGCTGTGTGGGTGGGTCATTGCAGTGATTGACTGACAGTGCACAATAACATATTTTACAACCAGCTACATACATTTTTATTTGTACTTATTGTTTTGGTAAGTATTACCAAAGTAGAGACTTTTAAACTGGAAAATTAACCTTTCATACTTTATACAAAAAATATTGCACATGAATCTATAACATTACAGTCATACTCTAAATGTAATTTGTCTGTACATTAGTCTGTGTACATCAGTGCACCAGTAATTGGGGGCATTGGTACCTTGTCTAAAAACAACAACAGTGTGAGGCTCCAGGAGTTTAAGGGAAATACCTTTTTCCTCTGTGTGGTTGTGTTACTATAGGTCTCATTTGGGTCTGCTGAGGTCTAAGGGAGAAAACACATTATTACTGGGCTGCATTATCTTCAGGACTGCTTCAATGTTGTTTCCAAGCTAAATAAACCCAAATAAAATGCATGGATTTTCATTTATGCTGCAATGTTTGTGCCACTCAAGGAAATTTATTATGTGTTTGAAATATTGTTTTCTGATGGATGGGTCTCAGATTACATTCAGGTCTCCAGGTTCTTACCATATTTTCTAATGGCTTGACCTGAGAAGATGAAGCAGCCATATTTCTGGCCTTTGCTGTTACTGAGATGTATGTCACTTCATCACTGGGGTCTACAGAGGGCTGGAGAGGGGGGAAAAAAAGCATAGTAATTGGATACTGTCATCATGTATCATTACTGTTACACTGTATAAGTATAGAGATAACACACACTGTAAATGGGTATTGCAATCATGTATCATTACTGTTACACTGTATAAGTATAGAGATAACACACACTGTAAATGGGTATTGCAATCATGTATCATTACTGTTACACTGTATAATTACAGAGAGGAAAAAACACTGTAAATGGAATTATTACTGTAATTATAACCATTACTGTTAGATTGCATAGATTGCCACTTAAGAAATGGTCCAACGCAGGGCTAAAAGAATGATTCCTGGCCTTGGGGGGATGTCTTACAGTACATACTGTACAGGGGTTGACAGAGAGAAATTTGTTTAGCCTTTAGCAAAGGAGACTAAGGGGTGACATGATCCAGGTATACAAGACTGTAACAGGCCTAGATGCTGTTCATCCAAACTGCTGCTTCAACGTAAGTTATAATTCAAGAACGTATGGCCAGTCAGAAATTAGTGGAAGAGCACTTTAGTTTGGATCTGAGAAAGTACTACTTCTCACAGTGTATAATTAGAGTACGGAATAGTTTACCCGAAGGGGTAGTGCAAGCTAAATCCCTAGATTCCTTTAAATCTGAACTTGACAAGATACTGGCAACTTAGTTTAGTTTAATTCCCTCCAAGCAAGCTTGAATGGGCGTATGGCCTCCTCTTATTTGTAACTTTCTTTATTTGTAACTTTGTAAACACAATGTAAATGGATACTGTAATCAGGTACCATTACTTTTAAACTGTATAATTAACGAAATAATAAAAAATCCATTTCATAACCCCCTTATCCTTTACATATCAATAAATATACAAAGAATCATGAATGCGTATTAATAAACTACACCGTGCTCAGACCAGCAGGAAAGGGAGACGATGACATGTGATGAGAGATAAGATGCTAAAGAATGGCATTCTTGGTCTGTGGTATAAGAGCTAATGCTTATTAGTGTGATCTGCTCATTGATTTGCTGCAGTTTTCACACGTTCAGCTCTGCTAAGCTATACTTATCTGACAGAGGACCAGACCACACTGGTGGAAAGTTCACAGCTGGACTCTGTGTCATGCAAATACTCACACACAGCACCCGTAAACGAGATGTCCAAAGATACACTTACACTGAGGTCAGCCGTGTTTTCTCTGTTCCTGTTTCTGGCATGGGTGATTGCTAAGAAGAAAAACAATGATAATTTGGTGAAAACAGACTCACTTGAATTTCTTATCATTTTATTTAATTTCATTCTCACCAGATCTTTTCCTCAGTATCATAGTAACCATGACAACAGTGAGCAGCAGCAGCAGTCCTACGATCCCCACAGAGACCAACAGTGTGGTGTAACTGGGGAAATAAACATGATGGATTTCATATTACCTGGATTTTATCTCCCCAAGTTCTGCATACGAATCACACCCAACATGCAAGTATATTTGTAGGGTATCAATCAACTGAAGGAATACAAATAGAAATAATCAAAGAACTCATTCTGACCACAGTCATTTAACATCACAAAATGCCACCAGACATTTTCATCAAAAAGAAAGAATCCTATTAACATCACCTATAGAGAAAATAATAGTAACACAATATAATAGTTAAGTTATGCCGCATATATAAGTCTTTAGTTAAACATTAGCTAATCATTTACAAATCCTTAATAAGACATTTATAAGCATGCAGTTAAGGGTTAACTAATCATTTGCAAAACCTTGACATTTATAAATGATTAAAAGGGTAAATTATCAAACAAATCATTACTAAATTATTACTAAGCCTGTAGTTAATGATCAGCAAATCATTTAGAAATTCTTAAGAAATGAAAGTAGTAATAAAAAAATAATAAAGAGTAATGTATACATTTCACAGGGAGAGGCTTGAAGTGTTACCATGATTTGTTTATGATCATTTTCCCTTTTAACCATTTATAAATGTTAAGGTTTGGTAAATAATTAGATAACCCTTAACTACATGCTTATTGCCTATAAATATTTTATTGAGAATTAATAATCACTATAGGCTTAGTAATCATTTAGCAATGGTTTTATGATCATTTCCCCTTTTAAACATTTACACGTTTAGAAGCATGTAGTCAAGTGTTAACAGTCATAAGACTTTTTAGTATAAATTATAATATAATTAAGCGCCATTGAAGCTCATTATAATGGTTGGTAAACGCATTAAGGATGCTTTGTACTGCATTGTGAAGGTATCAGTGTTACCAAATTGATTATTTAACTCCTTCTAAAATGGGAAGCCCTTAAACATCTAAGATTATGTTGTTTTACATTTCAGACTGAGGTGAACATAGGATATTTGTACCTCCTGTAGTGCAATTCTGAAACAGAACAGCTTGTCTGTCAGGATTCTAGGGTGAGCGAGCCGGAAAGCAGGCGATCGGAGCCGTTAATACGGACAAACGGGGTTTATTAGGAGCGGGAAGGCTGACAGAGACGAACATCCAAACAATACAATGAGAAGTCTGGGGAAGACTGACTCAGACGAGGACTAAATACAAAAGACAAGCTAGACTTAACAGGACACAGGCGATCACAATTAGGGCTGAACAGGAGGTAACGAGGTGGGCGTGGCACACATCAGGAGCGGACGGAGCGGATCATGACAATGACAGTAAAGACCACAAATCTGACTGATTTCCTACAGCAGATAATTCAAATTAAGCACAGCAGAGCCGTCAGAGGAAATACCAAAATATAAGATGGTCCAGTGTATCTGATTTTATTATTTACCAAATATCATATATGTATGTCTTACCTTGAATCTGTGGCGTTCTGTCTTGTTGAATTGGGTGACAAAGGACGAGGAGAAGAAACAGTAGCTCTCAGTGTTGTATGATGGTCCTGTTCTGTCTGTTGTGTAGTTGGCACAGGGGTTACTGTCAAGGGTGATGTGAAAGACCACTGGATTAGTTCAACATCAATGAAGACTGAGAATGTGGCACCAGCACCAAATGTAAATACACAAACACATAGTGCAGGGATGCATATTAAACAGCCAGCGTCTGATTCACTACAGTCTGCTATTGGTCCAGACCTCAGCTGCTTTTTACATTAAAATATATACAAAGGACACTGCATTGCAGTTACAGACTGTGTTCATATTACACCTGCATTCATTTTGATATCTATCTCTGAGTGACAGCATTAAACTCTGGTTCTGATTGGTTGACGCTGTATAGAAAAACACCCTCTGACTTTATCACAGTGTGACACACAGAAGCACATGGTCACCATGGACTCATTTAGTGTGAATCACAGCTCAGGAACTGACAGCTTACCTTCCCGGACTATCAGGGGCACAAAGGCACGATCATTTTGGGCTGCAGACGCCTCCACAGCACACCAGTAATAGTCAAAGTCCTTCTCCTGCAGGTTCCTTATGATCACATTAAACACCATTTGGTCACGGTCATCAGAGACTGACACTTTCCCTCTACTCTGTTCCCCATCTGACTGTGCTATTGTGGAGCAGGAATCCCGTTCATATCCTCTACACAAGTATTTGGTTTTATCTTTATAATTTTGGTCATAGTAACATGAGATGGTGGCAGGTCCTCCTCTGCGTGCAGAAACCCAGCTCTCAGTCCTCACACTCTGAGCAGCTATGGGGAGAGAACATGAATGACGGAGCATCAGAAACATATAATACAGAATGAACATGCAGATAACTTATGACTGTAGAGACAGAGAGGAACAACCAAGTGAGATGAAATGTCCTGGGCAATAAAGGCTTAAAGGGCCTGAGTTTTATGCAGAGACTGGGGTCTGTTAAACACAGAGGCAAGGAATGCTGAAGAAAGATGTAGGAGATGATTTTAAAAAAATTAATAAAATTTAGATGAATGCTTTTGAACCCTCATTATTAGCACCAATTAACTGAAGTTGGGGTGAAATTACACTGACATTAATAAGACAGAGATTATATTAGCTTACTTGGAGTAACCAGGAAGAACAGATTGTCAGACATTTCCTTAGTGTTTCTTTCACCCACAAAACACTGATAATTTCCCGAATCCGACTGCTGCAGGTTCGTCATGTTAAGTAGAAAGACTAATTTATCCTGAACATCAGCGATGGTCCCCTTGGTCACTTTAGTAGTTGGTGTGCAGGGTTGAATATTTTCTGATTTACACCAGTATTTCACACGGTGTTTATGCTCCTGACCATAGAAACACGGGATGGTGATGGATCCTCCCGTTTGTCCTCTTAAATAACTGAATGTCTTCAGGTTGGAATTTCTTTCTTCAGCTTGTAGAAGAACAAACAGTCAGTCAGTCATAGAATTATCATTGGAAAACTATATGAATCAACCACCTTCCATCTGCTTATCATATATACATTTGCACATGTACTATTGGGGGCCGTTTGTAAATAATCAGGCCATTCAGGCTCCTGTAGGAATATTTAACATAAACCAGGAGGTGTGAATCCTGGCGATGCACCAGCCATCACCCACAGCCAGTGGCCGTTTTCATTGTAAATACAGGCAGCACCAGTCTGTCATTATGTGAACTGCACATGCACTACATGTTAATTCATTTTCATTTGATTATTTATTTTCTGATCAATATTGTTCACATTTTCTTTGCACTTTGTCTTTGTTATTGCCTTTTGTGTTTCTGTCTGTACATCACATGTATACTTATATACTTATGTTGTTCATAATACAATTGCTTTTTTATAAGGTACTACAATCAATGATTTTTTAAGAAGAAGGTGATTAAACAACAAACATACCTGTAGCAATTAACATGTATTCTTCATCAGAGGTAGCCGCATATATCAAACCATCCACGACACTACACCAATAACTGCCTTCATCTGACTTCTGCAGGTTCCTCATGGTCACAATGAAGACTAAGTTATGGGGCTCATCACTGATGGACACCCTGTTCTT